TTTATTTTCATCAGTCTATTGGTTGTTAACCAATTTACGATCCTATTCATATTGACATGATCTATAATAGATTGAAATGAGATCAACTTGTCAATTATATCTCATTAATCATCATCAACTCATATACTATTTTGGTCTATTCCTTACAATCTTATACGAGATCCAAAGTTTCATGATATAACTCCGTATTACCTGTTTTCCTATTGGATAATGGTATATCTATTTCAGTATTACTTACTTACTTACTTACGCCTGTTACGCCTAATGGAGCATAGGCCGCAGACCAGCATTCTCCAATCCACTCTGTCCTGTCTTTTTCAATAGAACCTCCACAATATGATAAGAAATGATATGGCCTATTTGTTTTGTTCATTCACTTGATGATTTCTATTGTGTTTACGACTAGGTAGTCGTTGACTTTTATCACGCAGTTTCATATCCACTTTGTGTTGTTTGCTTGTATCTTCGTATTATTATTTAGGAATGCAACTGATTAGTCTCTTGTTGTATGGATAACATGATGGCGTTTGAAGCAAACAGTACTAGGTTCGAGTCCCAGAGTGGACATCAATAAGTCAAATGCAGATCAATCCAACTGACGAGTCCCATATAGGACGAAACACACGTCAAACTGGATTCCACTGTCAGCTACTATCTATTTTTGCTTTAAAAAAAACAATTTCATATCGTTTTATTTCCTTAATTTGTATGATGAAAACGATTCTTCGAATGATTGTCCTACATAAGGAGCTTGATGATTGAATGTGTTTTATCAAACTGTAAAGAATCTTGACAAATCTAGAATGTTTCACAGATTGAAATCATGAGTCAATTGAAGCTAGACCACCATGGAAAACCTGGAATCATTGGACGGCCGTTTCGTCCTAGTATAGCACTCCTCGGCAGTGCGCATCCACGATCCCATCCAGTGCCCCCAGGTTTTCCATGGTGGTCTAGCTTCAATTGACTCATGATTTCAATCTATGAAATTTCTAAAATCTTCATGAACCTCTTCTGATAAATCTAGAATGCTCATTGTTTCTGACCATATTGTAGATTTTATTTGTTTATATTAACTTAGGTAAAATTAGTTTTCCACTAATTCAATTCCTCATAGTCTTGACATATCACATTGTTGATAGTTTTGATTGAACGCTGATTTGTCTTAGTTGGAATATGTTTATCTTTTATGGGTACCCTTCATATAACCATTATGTTATAAGTTCTTTATAAAACAACTAAGATGTAGTTAGGAGTAGATTCTAGAATGCCTAATGCACTTTAGATGAAAGGTATTGGGTTCGAATCCCGGGGTAGATATCTATCTAAACAGGTCCATTTAACTGACGAGTCCTATATAGGACGAAATACACTTTCAGGATGTAAGTTATAGTCACATTCCTATTTCTTTCAAATAACTGATGTCATTCTCAAGAGGATAACAAACTTCATATTGATAGATTGTTGTTTATATTATCACTTATTATTGATTTATAAGTGATCTATGATCTGTCGACACGTGGGTTCCTTTCAAGTGTTGTTATAGTGAACTTATTATGATAGTAGGTAGCTACAGAGTTAGCTAACAGTGTTTATATGTCGTTTGGTTTTTAATGTTTCACATTGTTATGGGTTAGGATTAATGATAAGTAGTCAATGTGTTTTAGATTACTAAAACGAATAAGTAAAATAGAGGTAAACAATGTAATACAATGTGGCTGAGCGATGGTTATTCATGACACCAGATTACTGACATAATCTCTTGTGTAATTTAAAATCAAAGACAAGATTATTAATCCGAAGGAAATCAGTTTTGAAGGTTGCTTGTTCACCAATGAATTAAGGTTTAGTTATTAGGTTTAATTCTTACTCATTATATCATAAATAGGACTCGAACTCAAATATAGTCACCACCAGTTTTCCGTCATTGAGTTCAAGTTACAATAAGGACTCAGTTCATGAATAACACGGTTGAACGGAACCTTTACATTTCATATTACTGCCAACCATTAATAAAGATAGCTCTTTCGAATAATTTGATTCATAACAAGTGTGTATTAACAGAGGTATTTGGCAAGAGATTTCATTAAAGATTAAAGTAAACTGAAGAACAATTGAGCAGTTTGAAAAAATTGGAAACTATTTCACCATCTTAATAATACACATCTATAACTCTATATTGGATGTAGTTCAGAGTTTCTGATTGAGAAACAATGTAGGATACTTTAAGATCACTGAATCAAAGAATTCAAAAAGATCAATTATTGTTAATCTATGACGATAGTTATCTTTAAGTTAGAATTGACTAAATTGTCTGTGTTTTAATCTCCGTTCTAACAATAAACACTTGATTTAACTGAACTCGAATCCCACGAGCGTGATCGTTGATGTGCACTGCTGAGGAGTCCTACAATAGAGTGAAACGACCGTCAATTGCTTCTAGGTTTTCAATGATGATCTAACATTAATCGGTTCATGATCTCAATCAAAAACTTAATAATCTCCACCATCCTCAACTGATAGAAACACACATATTTGTTTATGTACATCATCCTACTTATAAGTAGTTTACAAAATATATCACAAATATTGCTGAGTTGCTAAGTTTTACTGTTTGTGAATTAAGGCAATATCGAGGCATACGCACAGTACGTACATATGTCCATAACAGACTGATCAATTGCAGTCTTAAACCTCAATAGAAAAATACAAGTCAAACACTACCAAGTGAGTTTTACTATTTAGTTTGGATTACTTATATTACATAGTTGTATTGTTGTTGTAACTTGAAAAGGAAACTGTTTTCTTTATTTATGACAGATTAAAACATTGAAGATTAGTGTATTTCACTAGTTTAAACATGAGTTGTGAATTCACAACCAAATGAATCATTTATTCACAGAGATTTGTTTACATTTTAATAGGTATATATCACCCAAACAAGTGGTTGTCAGGGCTCAGTAGCTAAGAGGATAACAGGATGTTGTTTAAAGTGAATCACGGAGTGAACACTAACTTTGGGGTGCGAGTACATCTATCTGACGAGCTCCATATAGGACGAAACGTGCGTCCTTGATTCTGCTGCTAACCACTATTCATCTTTACTTAGAATGCTATGACTTCAAATTAGATCGAAACTTAAAGTTCCCAATCCCTAGGCGAGTATATGATAATTTTGAGATGTAACAAAAGATGGTAACTGTCACTCTCTCCCTATCGTCAATAATAACTTCTGACTAAAACTTTAGGAATCCATTTCAAAGTGAATTATAAGTTGTAAAGTTTTGATACTTTGTTTGTTTTAATAGATGAGTAATCATAATGGTGACTAGTACTAAACAGTTAACTTCAGTATATATATTTATTATATCTACATATTTCAGCTTTCTTGAGTGGTGTATAGCAAAGACTCTTAACTTAATATACATAATTTATTACCAGAAAGGGGGATTTTGTGGATATTATAGTAATTTCAATAGTTAAGATCATGATTCAATGGAAGTTAGACCACCATAGAAAACCCTGGAGCACTAGATAGGCTTTTCGTCTTAGCATAGGACTCCTCAGTAGCGCGTGTCTACGATCCGGCCTCGCGAGATTTAAAGCTAGGTGTCGTCGGGAATGTACACTGTTACGGAGTCCTATACCAGAACGATATGACCGTCCAATGTTTCCAGGTCTTTCATGATGGTCTAGCTTCAATTGAATCATGATCTCAACTATTGAAATTACTATAACATCCACAAAAACCCCTTCTGATATGAATTTTATTTCTGAATTAGAATTTTATCGAGACTATAATTTATGAACGAACTAATATGGTATGAGGTAATAAGTCTAAGATTTTGGCACGAAATCCATTCATCAATTTAATTAAATAGTGTTTTGGCATTTTAGCTTATTTCAGTTCATGATGAAATCACCGCCTGTTACATCCTTGATCTGTCTACCCACTTTCAGTGCTGAGGATAATTTGTCTAATCTAGATTAAGACTTTGGCGCGATAGGCTGACTGGCTTAACCTTGTGGCTAGTACGCGTGAGTTTGAGTTTGAGTAGAGATAAGAAAACTATTCTATCACCTGATTGGCTGACAAGCACGTGAGTGAGAGAAGACAAGATAATCGGAACACTACTCGATCTATTCCCGATATATCCCGATGTCAAATCAATGTAAAAAGCTACATGAATATATAGATGACTAACCCGACCACAATGTACAATAATTAGAAAAAATACAATTATAATCAGAGAAGGGTTTTTGTGGATATTGCAGTGATTTCAATGGTTGAGATCATGAGTGAATTGAAGATAGACCATCATGGGAAGCCTGGAAGCATTGAACGACCGTTTCATCCTATTGTGGGACTTTTCAGCAGTGTGCATCTACGCGCGTGAGCGTTTAATCACTAGACCACTGAGCCAGCCGGCATCTAACGGTGTTAATGTCTCACTTCAACCAATCCACGAAGTTGCGCCACCGTACACCATTGTCTTCAGTGAGCTGATATCTCACAACAGACCAGGTTGAACTCCACTGGTAACGGCTTCTCACTAGAACTCCAGGAGTTTTTTCTGAATTCAGTCACTAATGAGCAGATGATTATTATTATCAGAATGGGTTTTGTGGAGAGTTTTAAAAATTTCACATGTTGAAATCATGAATAAAATGAAATAGTGTTCCCCTAAAAAATAGTTTGCATAATTTGTCCAGGCTATTTGTTTCTCTGTTCACATCACCACCCCACCCCACCCCACCTCGAAATCTAATTCCTAACCCCTAACCATCAACTGTAAATCACTATCCTTACTCTTTACACGGGGTTGATCACCTTTTCATTTAATCCTAATGATTAAGTGAACCGTTTCAACGTCAGTTTAGAACTCATTCAAAGGTTATCCATTCAATGATAGTTTCATTGAATACTCTTTTTTAAATGAATACAATCTAAATACTTCTTTTCTTTTCTTTTAAAAAACAATGTTTATTCATGATTTAAAATGTCAAATTCATCATCATCATCATCATCATCATCATCATCATCATCATCATCATCATCATCATCATCATCATCATCATCATCATCATCATCATCATCATCATCATCATCATCGTCATCATCATCATCATCGTTGAGACAACATGTTTATTTGTTTGTTTTGTTTTGTTTCGTTTAGTTTTAATACAAACCAATTAGATAGATTGAATTACATTCATAGTTGTTTTTAATTAAACTGAAAAATTGAATATGTAATTTATCATTGTAATACTGAATCGTTTCGAAATTACATTATGTATATCTATGTGCATGTATATATATATATATATATGTGTGTGCGTGTATGTGTATGTGTGTGTATAGGTGTATGTACATGTGTGCGTATGTATGTGCATAGGTGTGTGTATGTGTGTTTATGTGTATAGGTGTGTGTACGTGTATGTGTATGTGTATGCGTATGTGTATATATGTGTGTATCTGTGTTTATGTGTATAGGTGCGTGTATGTGTATGTGTATATGTGTGTGCAAGTGTATGTGTGTGTATACATGTCTACCTATCGTTTTATACTATATACATTATACATATGTATATATGTACTAACAATTGTTTGTTTGTTTGTTTCTTTTGATTTCATCAGTTCATCAGTTTATCAGTATGTTGTATGTAGTTGATGATATGTAAAACGGGTAATAGAAACCTGGTAATATAGAAAACCTAATTTATAGACACATTTATGTATTCATACTTATATGATGGAGATTGTGTTTATGAATAACCACAACAAAAAAAAGAAGAAATGAAAACTTATTAAAGTATCCAAAAGGGGGTTACTAATTAGATGATGGTTGGAGGTAGTCAACAGGAAACCCTGGACCCGGGTTTCGTGCTAGTTGGGACTCGTCAGCAAGGTGTACCTGTAATCTTGAGGGAACTGGTGCTGACGAGTGCCAAGTAGCACGAAACCCGGGTCCAGGGTTTCCTGTTGACTACCTCCAACCACCATCTAATCTCAATACATAGTGCCCGCAGTGTCGAGTCACCCAGACTGGTGGCCACATTGCAACATGATCGATAGCATTCGATCTGCACTAAACAAGGACTAGACAAGCATGACATTGATCACCACCCAGTGATCAATCAATTGTGAGGGGGTTACTAATATTTGAATTCATGAGTCAATTGAAGCTAGACTACTATGGAAAACTTAGAAGCAGTGAATCGCCATTTTGGTGTAGTATAGGACTTCACAACAGTGTGCGTTCACAATTCTACCTCACGATATTAGGACCGAGGACTTATTGGTTCTGGCGTGTGAATGTTTAATCTCTAAACCACTGAGTTGGCATCTAACGGTGTTAAAATCTAACTTCATCTAATCCACGACATTGAGCGCCACCATCCACCATTGTCTTCAGTGAGTTACTATCTCACAACTGACCCAGTTGAACTGCACTGGTCACTGCTTCTCACTAGAACTGCAGGATATATCTCTTGAAGACCGTCACTAATGAGTATATGTTGATTAATGTCCGAAAGGGGTTTTGTGGATGTTGTAGTAATTTCAATAGTTGAGATCATGTGTCAATTGTAGCTAGAACACCATAGAAAACCTGTAAGCACTGGATGGCCGTTTCATCCTTCTTTTGGATTCCTCAGTAGTGCTCATCTACGACCATTCGTCGCGAGATTCGAACTCAGGATCTATTGGACTCGTGCGCGAACGCTTAATCTCCAGTGTACTGAGACGGCATTTAGTGGTGTTAATGTCTAACTTAGTTCATTTATCATAAACAGTATGAAGAACATTTTAAAAAATCCCATCACAAATTTATTTAAACGTTTCGTTTTATAAGTTGAAATATGATGTTTGTGCTGATGAAAGCTCCACGACCAAACTATTCAGTTCAGAGAACAAAACTCTGTCAAAATCATCCACTTGAGCTATAAATCTTCTCTACCATCTGTGAACAGTTTGTACTTAAACGTATGATTATTTCGTTAAATAAAGTTGATTAATTTAAATTTTCATTATCGGATTGTGGAGATTGTTAAGCTTTTCATTGATATCATGAATTGATTTATGTTAGACCATCATTGAAAACCTGGGGATGTAGAGGTATACAGTTCACGCGCCGAACCGAAGGACCTGGGTTTAAATCCCACGAGTGAGATCGTGGATGCACACTGCTAAACAGTTCCATACTAAGACAAAATGGTTGTTCAATGCTTCCAGGTTTTCAATGTTGATCTAACATGATGTCCACCAAAAATAATTTTAATTTCATGATAGAATTCAGGAGTACTGTTTGCTACTCATCTCATTACTTTAGTACTAAAATTTAGATCTTGAAAAACCTGAAAGCACTGGACGACCATTTCGTCCTGTTGAGGTCTATAGATTAAGCGCTCGCTCACGAGACCGATAGATCATTTAGCAATGAATTTTACTTGTTCTTCCTAATTCAATGATTTCATAGATTGTAAATTCTTAGTTTGAAACCAAACTTATTTACTTTAAGGTTAGTCAATTGAAATTAACTATATAAGTTATAATTCTATTAAATCATCCTCATTTATGGTATCTAAGGTAACTAATGGAGCATTGATATGCACCACATAAATCATCTGATTTATGTGAGAGCTATGATACTGCCCGGATGACCAAATCGAAGCAGATGGTTTTCTTAGTGGACCAAACCTGGAGCCTTCGACCTAAAGGTCTAATCCACAAAACAGTGGAGCAAAGTTAAGAGATACATTCCCATGGTAGCCAGAGACCAACATTAGCTTCACACATCATTTGTTCCTTCAGGAATCCTGGAGTTCATATTCACCATTAGTTTAGAATAAGGGTTTTCCAATTCTCCTAGTTGAATCCTTCGTATCCTTGTGTAACATCCTTAAACCTAAATCATGACCTCATCAAGAAAAGAAAAGCAAACTTTTTTAGTTTCACTATTCACTAAAAACTTTCAACTAAAACAAGATTATTGTTTATATGGGGCGTTTCTGAGAAAACAACAAGAACAATAACCAGTTAATCTAATGATAAGATGACACAATCCTAAATGATTTACATTCATGAAAATGTATCATATGGGAATTATAGACAGATTGATTCATTATGAAATAACTAAAAAGGAGGGTTCCTAGATAGATCATCATTTCATTATGATTAGTTCATCCACATAGAATGTCCATAGAATTACCCAATTACTTTGTTATGTTTACATTAACAAGTTTAATTTATTCCACCTATACAACATTATAGAACTATTTATCAAAGTAAAATGAATTCCTTTGGGTTTTATTATGACTAATTTGTCAGTGGTTATTACTCTACCTTAATTCTACATTCAATATGATCTCTCTCATTATACTCTTGTGTTTAATATTGTGAAAGGAATCACAATGGAATGATAGATATATTCACATGTCAAGTTCTAAAGTGATAACGTTTGTTAAGAATAGTCTAAATGAAACAATGTTGATAGATACTGACAGATATTGACAACATTGAGGGAATAAGGCTCAAGTAAAGGAGGAGGGTTGGGCATGGGGTCAGCAACATTATCCCGTAAAGAAAGAACACAACCTTGCTACAAAAAAAAATTAACCAGACTAAACAAATTAAACCATTTAAACTTTACTCTCTGAGTTGAATGATTGTCATTTGGAAGAAATATGACATCTTATGGTGAAGTCCAAGATACTTTGGAAGCCATGAATCCAATGTCCCTTCTAACAACCCGAATGACAATTATTATAGGTATATGGAATGTTCAAACAATGTGATAGAACGAGAAGACTAATCAAATAGCTGCAAAAATGAGGAGATATAACTTGACTATGCTCGGAATCAATGAAACCCAATGGACCCAACCTGGACATAAAACGATAGATTTGTAGGAGATGCTGTTGTACTCTGGTCAAAAAGAACAAAGTGTTCTACACACTCAAGGAGTTTCTATGATGTTGTCTAAAGAAACACGTGAAACAATTATAGGATGGGAATCTCATAGATCCATGATTATCAAAGTATCCTTCGAAATAAAGACGGATGGAATCACAATGGAATAACGCATATATTCATGTCAAGCTATAAAATCATAATGTTTGTTGACAATATTCTAGATGACAGATTACTTAATTGAAACAATATTGATAGATAAACTAAGAAATATTATTTCAGTAATACAATGTCAAGTAATCAGACGATGTTCTGTCATGTCATAAAAGTCAACTTCTTCAATTGACTCATGATTTCAATCAGTGAAAATGTCTAAAATCTCTATAAAACCCCTTCTAATAATAATAATAATCGTCTGCTCATTAGTCACTGACTTCAAGAGATACTCCTGGAGTTCTAGTGAGAAGCAGTTACAAGTGGAGTTCAACCAGGTTTGTTGTGAGATATCAGCTCACTGAAGACAATGGTGTACAGTGGCGCAACTTCGTGGATTGGTTGAAGTTAGACATTAACACCATCGGACGCCGGCCGGCTCAGTGGTTTAGTTAGTTAAGCGCCTGGCGCGAGACTGCTGGGTCCTGGGTTCGAATCTCGCGGGGTGCGGGATCGTGGGTGAGCACTGCTGAGGAATCCCATACTAGGACTAAACGGCCGTCCAGTGCTTCCAGGTTTCCCATGGTCGTCTAGCTTCAATTCACTCATGATTCCAATCAGTGAAAATTTCTAAAATCTCCACAGAACCCATTCTGATAGTCAAATTCTTAGTGGTTCAAACGGTAAAACAATCCACAAATATATATCATATAGGCTATTAATCGTTCTGTGTGTTCATTACTTGTATTATCTACTTAGTTATTTTGCTATATTTCTGTCCTTTTGTACACATCTTTTGAATTTTTCATTGTCGTTAAGCTGTCTAACTAAGCAAAGCTGGAAAGTAGGTGGCAGTGGAATTCAAGACGCGCGTTTCGTCGTATTTGTGACTCGTCAGCTGGATGTACCTGCATTTCAGACTTGTTGATGTTCACTCTGAGACTCGAACTCAGTACCGTTTGCTACAAACGTCATCGTGTTATCCACTTAGCTACTGAGTCCTGATAGCCACTTGCTAGTGCAATTGGATGAAGTTATATTCACTTAGTGTTGTTTACTTGTATCTTCCTATTGTTATTTAGAACTGT